TCAGTTCTATAATGTAAAGTAAGCCACGACGAAGAAATGTACACCAATATGCATAAAAAAGAACAATTTTTATAAGATTGGCAACAGCAGGTACATCGTGTTTCACATTTTTAATCCCGCAAGGGATTGCGCTAACAGCTTTTTAACCTAAATGCAAAAAGTTAGCTGGGTGTGGGTGTTGATAAAAAGGAGATCGATATCCACCTACACCCACACCCCAAGCCCGCACTCACACCCGTACCCAGTAATAAAAAGCTCTTGATGAGATGCAATCACATCGAAAGGAAGAAGTGAAGAAAGAAAAATGAAATCTTACTTTTCTTTAGCAGTTGTTTATTTACATATTCTATCTTCACATTGTCACTAACTGTACAGACACAAACTCAGGAAGAAAAAAAATCGATGGCAACAATAATAAAAATTCTCTTCAGTGTGTTTGTTTTTTTGGCTCGTTCGTTAATAATGTACTTTTTTTGTTGATCTTTCTTGTTTTTCGTAGTTGCGTTTTTAGAAGAAACTCGACAGAATCATGCAATCAACCTTACGGCCATTTTTTTATTCGCGGAACAAAGTTCTGTGTTTGTGCAAAGACATGCGACCATGCACTACAATGATGGTGTTTTGTTTTTGTTACTTTTGAGTTAAGAAAAACAGCAGTCATATCTTAAATATCTCTACCGATTTCAGTTAAAAAAATACCAGCGATACTTTTCATTATTTGTCAACTGTATGCAAATATAGATGGCTCTCTTTCGCATGCATGCAAAAACAGAATTTGTTGATAGATGAGTTTTTTAATCATATTCTACGCCCATAATATTCCACGTTTTCACTGTATTATATAGAATAGATGTTGATAGTAGCAATGATTTAACATCAGTTTCTATAGAGAAACATGTTTCCTAATACGTTTTCCGTTGAAATACATTTACTATCAATATAATTTTAGTTATGCACGTATGTAATGATGTAAGATTAAAATTGAAAGAATCCTCAATAGGGTGTGGGTGTGGGTGCATGAGTTATATGAATCTAATATGTATCTTTTCAATTTGGTCTAATTACTATTTATTCATATACACCTATTATTGCAGATAAAAAATGTCAGTACGTATACTTCCTCATTCATTCAGAACAAGACTAATTGTTTCGAAAATGATATCAACTGTTTGACAACAATGAATGAGTTGAAACTAGGACTTTCGACTAAACTTGCGAAAAATTTATCTTGCAGATCGGATTGCAAAGGTTACATTATGAAAAGTTCTCGAAAAGAAGTTTTGATCTTTATAAGATTATGATTTCAAGATAATGGATGATTTTGATTGATGCATAATATTTCATCAGAAGTTTATTTTAAAGTAACATACATTGTAAAGTTTAGATGAAATTATTGTTGATTTATATCTTCACAATCAACCGTTTCTTTCAGTATCTCCAAAACAATACGAAAATCAAAGCTCAATACCTCACAAACAACAATTATGATATTTGTGCATGCTCAGACTAATCGTGTTTGGTATTTTTTCACCCACAATCACGATGAGAGAAAAACTGATTCAGCAACTATAACGTGTGATACATGTCTTCAATGACGAAGCACGATGTGAGCAGCTTTCTTTGCTTGAATCGCTTGTTACCTAACAGCAATATATTGAGCATGTAAACAACGTTGTTCAATGATTAGTTCAAAAAAAAAGTCGAATCGAATTTTCTTGTCATTTTGTTCACATTATTATCATGTCGATCACAGACAGAAAGAAGAAAATCGAATTAACAATGTCTGTGTTGATTTTTTTTTCGTTCTTGTCAGAAAGCGAAAAACTTCGCTTTGAAAGAATCAAAGAAAACTAAACAATGTATGAAACAACGTATCGAATGTAATGGCACTTAAGTCATTGTACAGATGAAAAGTAAACGAAAGTTGGAAAGAATAACAATTGAATAAATGATGCTGTTAGATTTTTTCTCTTTTGTTTACTGTTAATAAGCCTATTTTCAATTGAAACGAGGTGAAGTTTATCGTTGAGTGTCAACAAAAAATTAACCATATTTTACGTCGGAGCAATATCTAGAAAAAAAATAAAAGGCAATAACGACTATAGGGCATAAGTTTGTCTTTGCAGCTTCTCTTCACTCACACGCAAATTTCAGATATATCATTTGACACAGATCAATATTTCAGCCGGTGTAACTGAATTTCAAATTGTTGTCTACTTAAATT